GCACGTCGATACTGGACAAGTGCCGTGTCAGTATATGCCGAAAATCGGTTACAATACCGTCCAAGTGTCCAATTTTGCACCGCAGCCCGATATCCCGCCGCTACTGGCGCGAAGTCGTCTCGCCGCCGACGCTATATTGGCGCAATATCGTGCGAATACTCTAAAAGTAAGACTTTGGTCCGTATATCCACGCAAGACGCAGGAGCTATCCGTACAACACAGATGTCCGTACAACACACGCAATATTTACAGGCCGAAGCTGTTGATTCCCTTAGCGATAAACATTGAGCGAATGTTCATTGCTGAGGGGTTCATAGCTTCGGATTGGAAACACCTCGGTGTTTTAAAAATCTCATGAAAAAAAGTGTCTTGCAAGCAGGGTGTCGAAGCGGAACCGAACCGAACCAAAAACCGGAACCGAACCGGTATTTTTTCCGGAACTGAACCCGAACCCTAAACGTTATATTGTTATCGCGATGAACCCGAACCGGAACTGAACCGGAAAAAAAATAACGGTTACCGGCTCACGTCAAAATGGTTCGGCCACGCGCTGTTGACAATAAATGTGCTATCAATGCCATTTGTTTTTTAAGTGCCGTCAACTGACACAAACCTCACTTACATATTTTTCTTCTCCACTCAGTCTTAGGAATATAAACGCTGCATCCATGACTCTTGACAAACGCTGCATCCATGAATCTTGACAAACGCTGCATTTATGAATCGTGACAGAGGAACCAATATTGCGCTGGTCGCGGCTTGCGCGTCACGGGATTTCATTTTCCTACAATCTCGTAAATCCTAAATGCTGCTGTGTGCTCATTTCATAACACGTTTCTAGAACACGCGAGTTCTTGAAGCTTGCTTCCATCGGAATGAGAAAAGAAAAGGCTGTGGAGTTTGATAATAATGCATTCGGTTTCGTATAGGGACTTTGAAGCTTACATATTTGTGAGACAGCGAACTCTTCTATTTTAATATTTATCCTATTACGTCCTTCTGGCGTTGCGTTCGGTGAAGTGTTTTTCATATTCCGTATCTTGTTTAATGAAAACTTCTTTAGGGATCTAATTTGAGTTATTGAAGGCTGGTTCAAATAAAGAAAGCTGTATTTTCTCCCCACTGTTCCTTCAATTGCTTACACGCCGAGGTGGCGGGATAGTTAGCGAGCTCTACTTGTAAGTGGGTTTGTAAGGAGGTCGCGGATTTTACAGCTACTGCGTCGGACCCAATTAGATGAAGTCCGAATGCGTGAACGTCGGTGAGGTAACCTTTGAGTGCACATAAAGAAACCATTCCTGGTAGAAATCCCTGAGCCTTACACTACGATGTATCCCGTTTCGTATGTGCTGATTTCAGATGTTTTATTTGTAATTTATTTTGATGTTGCAATTTGTCATTTATAATTTCTGAACCGGTTCGCGAACCGGTTCAGCACCCCGAACCGGTTCGCGAACCGGTTCACGGAACGAATTAATCGAACCGGAACTGAACCGGAACAAAATAAATTTACCTGAACCTGAACCGTAACCGAACCCGTATTTTTTTCGGTTCGACACACTGCTTGCAAGGGGTACAACCACTGCTCAAACATAAATAGAATATGACTGTTCAGTAATGCTAAGACATATTTTTGCACCACGTGGTGGCGCATACTTTTCTTTTTACATTTGCAGAAAAACTGTCACTGATTTTAACAGATTTGAGAAAACCTCAACTGGTATATTGTAAAATACTAAAGTTTGATTTTGTTCAAAATAGATACAAAACGAAAACACTCGTATTATTCGTATAGTGCACTTTTTTGCTTGCTTTTACATGGCGAAGAATGAAGATCTAGGATAATCATTATTTGAATCTGAGAATATTATCAGCTGCTTTGGTAGTGATGTATACTTAGTGTTTCGTGAGGTTGATTTTATTACGGTTTCTTATTGTCATTGCCTATGTAGTCGTCCAAATTTTGTAACCCATTCTGTCTGGTCCTTCCTGGTGCGTACTATGATAAAAAGAATATAATGCCGCTTTTACACATTCAATCAATAAATTAATACATAAAAACAGGCTAATGTATATCAGCGGGAACCTTACTAGCCTTGAATTTCAACAGATTATTGAGCGCCCCAACATTTTCTTTTAAATCTATGCCATTCTTTAGTTCCACTTGGGACGCTTCCATTGCGCGTAATTTGGCAGGTTTTTATTTTGATTTAAAAACAGAAGATTTCCCCATATTTGAAAAGAACTACATAATTAATATCTTAAATCATCTCCACAGATCGATTGAGGCCTTTATGAGGCGAAAATCTTGTTAAATAGTGTTAAATATAAACTAATAAGAGCCTTCAGTTCTTCCGAAGGATGATCGAAACCACCGCTTGCATTAATTAAAAAAAAGTCCTTTGCAATTCTGCAATCCTAAATGTCTGTATTTTGTATAACAACGCACTAGTTCTAAAAACGTTACAATGGTCGTCCTATTTTTTTTTTACTTCTAAAAAATTACATGGCTTTAGACATGCATATAGCATATTTATTATTCAAGATCAGTATTTTCAATTAGGAGGGAACGTACCGTTGCCATATTTCAAGCATGATATCACACGGGGTATAATTTCCTCTCTAGGAAAATATCCGAATAGTTTTTTTTTTTTTTAAATATTAGTTACATTTTGTTTTTACAGTCAATTTTGTGAGCCAATTGTGCCTTTGCACAAGATAATTCTTCGTTTGATTCGATTTTACTTGTATAGCGTACATTACGTGTGATGCAAATCATTATCATCAAGAAGCTAGCTTACCATTAAAACGAACACATCTGTAGCATTTCACTTTGTTCGCTTCTGTTGGTTGACGTAGTGGACGTATAGCTATGATTCCTTGTCAACTGCATACCTGCAAAACAAATGAGAAAACAAATAATAATTATCGAAATTGGAGGCCAATGTACTTTCGCACACAGAATGAAAAATATGATTTTGCAAACTGGAGATAAAGTTTTAAATCCACAGTCACTGGTCTTATTTCGAAATGTATTACCCCTAGTCTAGATTTAATTCAATTCAACTCAATTTTTTTCAAGTCAAGTAATACAAATTAAAGACCTGGTCCACAAATGCAGCATTCTGCTTGTATGTGGTTGCCTAACTAATTTAGGGGTTTTCGAACACACTCAGCAAGTTTCCAATAGGCACCATATGTTTATTCTTTCTCAAAAAGAAGTTAATGAGCATAATTTAGCTAATTAGCCTACTTCTTGAGCTGATTAGCCCCCTTTTTAAGTCCACCTGGTCGCATAATTCAACTTTCTTCAATAAATCTGTATTTCCTAAATCTCTATATTTATTAGTGATATGATATTTGCATTAAACACCAGAGTAAGATACATCCGATCGTCAGATCGCATCTTACTCAGATGCGATCTGACGTGTCGTTCCCATGTTGATTCGACGCACGTGCTCTCAATTCTCCCTTTTTCACTTCGTCGTCTTCGATCTCCTCGCGCCATTGATATGGCTTATTACGAACCACTTAAACGTTTCAACACACTCCCCACCGAATGGATGGGAATCCATTCTAAACTTCCGTTAACTCCAACGGATACACAAGCTGCACTGGCCTTCGCAAAATTGTGCCGCGATGCACTCGAATCTCGCACGACCGGGTCCGGGAATCTCCGGCTGTGAAACACTCTTTCTACTCGGCCGAGCTTTCAAAGCAGGCGTGGAACCGGCTCTTTTAACAGAAGTATTTGACCCTCTCTGATGGGCGCAGACTGCCTGTTCTGAGTGGTGTATGCTGATCTGAGTTCTTGAAGATACTCTTCCCTCCATGTTCCCCAAAATCGGTTAAGCAGTTGTTTTCGCTACCGCCAGAGCACGCGAAGTGCCTCCAGTGTGGAAGTGAGCGTGTCCCCACCCGTCGGCGGAAGTGTCGTCAGCCGCCTTCCAACTAGGAAACTGGCCGGCGTGAGCGGGGTCCTCTCTCCGACCCCGTCGCGCACAAGCCTTAATGACCGCGAATTCAACACGGCCTCTACCTCAATCAGAACGGTGGTCAATTCTTCTGTGTCCAGACAGTTCCTTCCGATAACCTTTCTTAAATACACCTTTACCGAGCGCACAAGCCTCTCGTAAAATCCTCCCCACCATGCGGCTCTCTCGACAATAAGCCTCCACTGGATACCCGCGTTCGCAAAGTGGTTGACCACGTATGGGTGGCGCAACGTCTTCCACAGTTCCGTGAGTTCCTTCGACGCTCGTTTGAAGGTCAACGCATTGTCGGAATAAGTTACGCGGCACAGTCCTCGGCGTGACACAAATCGACGGAAGGCAAAGAGAAAGCTCTGTGTCGACAGGTCTGGTACCAACTCCAGGTGTACAGCCCGCGTGACTGCACACGTGAACAGCGCCACGTAGCACTTGCATGTGAGGTCCTTGCCCTTGACATAGAGGGGGCCCGCAAAGTGCGTGCCGACTACCTCGAAAGTGTCCGCTCGGGTTGTCCGGGCATCCGGCAAGGGCCCCGTGGGGACACTCGCGGGGGTCGCGCTAAAGCGCTGACAGGTCACGCCAGGCAGGCACCACTTTCTTCACCAACTCTCGGCCCCGCAGAATCCAATACTTGTTACGGAGCTGCACGAGAGTATCTCTCACTCCCGCGTGCAGCAGCTGTCGGTGCGCGTCGATTGCCAGCAAGGTTGAATATCGATGCTGCTTGGGCAGGGCGATCGGGTTTCGTTCGTCATACGTCATGTTGACGGACTGGAGGCGACTTCGAATGCGAAGTACACCCCGCTGATCGATGAAAGGGTCGAAGTCTTGAAGGGGAGAACTCGGCGGGGGTCTTCGTAGCGTTGGTCGCGCAGCGAAGCTTCGGTTAGCGAAGGCCGAGCGCTGCGCCTCTTTTATCCGGTGAGTTCGCGCTGCCTCGATCTCCTCGGCTGTCAGTGGTCCCGTTCGTCTTTCAGTTGACCTGACGTTGTGGAGGAATCGAAAAATTCAAGCCGTTGTTCTGCTGATATTTGAAGCAGAGCTGAATCGCGAGATATCGATCAACTCTGGAGTGGGCGTTACTGTGACTTCAAACACTTCTGCTCTCGATCCTCTCTCCTCGAGGGGGTCTCGAGGGAGGTCTCCGCACATTTCCTTGGGCCATTCTGTCGCTGGCAGTGGCAACCAACTCGGCCCCGACCACCACAGTGAACTGGAGACCAACTCTGATGCGGTCAGACCTCGTGTCATGAGGTCAGCGGGATTTTCTTTTCCCGGGCAGTGGTGCCACGTCGCGCTTTCACAATTGCTCTCGATCTCTTGCACTCGATTCCTGACGAACAGCGTCCATCGGGAGGCCTCTCCCCTGATCCAGTAAAGCGTGATCATTGAATCCGTCCAGAAGTGAACGTCCTTCACCTCAAGCTCAAGGCAGGTGTGGACGTATTTGGACAACCTTGAGACGATCAAGATGGCCATCAGTTCCAATCTCGCCAGCATGACAGTTTTGAGGGGTGCAACTCGTCCTTTTGCAAGCAATAACGTCGTCGTCGTCGCTCCTGTGTCGTAGGTAGTGCGAAGGTAGAGCATGGCTCCGTAGGCAGCGGTGCTGGCGTCGGCGAAGATATGCAATGAACGGTTTGTCACCTTGCCGTGCAATCCGTCGTCGCAAAGCCTTGGGATCTTGACCCTTTCTAGCTCGACAAGTTCGCTGCACCACCCGGTCCACTCGTCTTGCAGGTGATCTGGTAGCATATCGTCCCAGTCCAGGTTTAGTTTCCAGATTTCCTGGAACAGGATCTTGGCTCTCACGACGAAGGGTGCCAAGAATCACAGAGGGTCGTAAAGTCGAGCTGTCGTTTGTAGCAGCACGAAGCGCTTCGTATTTTCTTGGTGGCGAGCAGTCTCCATCACGTGCTCCGGTGAAAACATGAGACTGTCCTCTTTGGGTTCCCAAGTCACTCCGAGCACCTTGAGCACGTTCGCGACTTGTCCGAGTGGTTTTTGGCCTGCGCCGTCCTCCTCGAACACCTCCGCTAGTGATGCGCTATTTGAACCCCACTTGTGGAGTCTCATACCGGCCTGCCTAAACACCTCGTTCGCCTCGGCGTACAACTTCTTAGCCTCGTCTTCGTGGCTCGCTCCGGTCAACAGGTCATCAACCTACACGGACTTTCTTAATTGTTCGGCCGTTGTTGGGTATGTGTTCTCCACCGCCGCGAAATGGTGCCGCAGGGTAGCTGCCAAAAGGAACGGGCTTGAAATTGCACCGAAAGTCACCCTCGTCATTCGCCAGGTCTCTACCTCTGGTACCGGTTGATTTTGGATCGGCGGTTGCTTGTACCAGAGGAACCGCGGTGCGTCACGATCCTCCGCCTTGACTCCGATCTGCAGGAAAGCCTTCTCCACATCCGCCACTAATGCTACTGGGTACGTCCTAAACCTCAGAAGTAGGGCGACGAGATCTGGATTCATGTTCGGTTCACTCTCCAAGTTTTCGTTCAGGGATTTACAGTTTGCGCCGTGAGAGGAAGCGTCAAACACAATCCTCAGTTTGGTGGTGCTGCTGTTCTCGCGGAGAACAGACTGGTGGGGCATGTAATACACCCTGGCTGCACCTTAGTTCTCTTTTTCTTCATAGACCCTCTCCGCCATGTCGTTGTGTTGGTATTGCCGAATCGCTTCGTCATACTTCTGTAGGAGATCGGGATTTTTGGTCAACTTCTTACGTAGATTCTCCAACCTCCTTGCCACCTCCATGTTGTCTGCCAGCCTTAAGTCCAATTTCCATGAAAGGTCCACTTCGTATCTACTGGCGGTCTTCGTAATGTTGGCTTCGAACTCTCGTCTCACGGCGCTGTCCGAGGGATCCTCTACTGGCGGGTCGGCAACTCCCACGCTTTCTAGCTCCCAGAAATGCCGGAGAGCTGATGTGGTTTCTAGATCCTGCAGTGTTGCTATTAGCAAGGTCGCCTGGGAGCAACTCACGATGGTCGATTCCGAGCCTGTCCGTCTCTGGACCGCCCAACCGAATGCAATTTCTACTGCAGTGAGGCATCCGCTCAGTCGGCGAATTCTTCCTGTGATGCACCCCCAGCAGTGGTCTGATCCCAGTCCGGTCATGTTGTCTCCCACGGGACAGCCGAGTTCCTCTAATGTTTTCACGATGGCTTCATCTGGGCTCGGAAGGTCCTGCTCACATACGGTAGGTGTCTCGAGAGCGTCGATGTCATATCTTTTGTTGTAGAGTTGGTCTCGCAAAGTCACTTGAACCCTGCGAAACGTATGTTCAGTGCTTTCGCCCCCGAACACCCCTATTGTGAGGATCTCTGTCCCCAGCAATTTGCAGTCTAGTCGCTGAGACAGTTCTTCAGTTATGAAGGAGCGCTGACTGCCGCTGTCGAAGATAATACGGGCAAGCTTCGTTCCGTTTGTACCATCTGCACACGCAGTAACCGTTTGTAGGAGCACTGCCGGCCTGCTGTTCCAACCACGTACATGCATAGCGACCGGTGCCGGTTCCTTCGGTTCCGTCTCATTCGATCTGGTGGACGTTTTTCCCGGCGCGTAATTCGGGTCTCACATGGTGGACGCGTGACTGCCTTGACATTTGCCACAGCTGGGTGCTCCTCGACATAATCTTGCTATGTGATTGGCCTTCGTGCAGCGGAAGCACCTCCGGTCTGCTTGCAACCTATGCTTCTTCTCCGTTAGCCCGATTCTTGCGTTACATTCCGGTGTTCCGTGCGCTTTTGATTTGCAAAGGAAGCACTCAAAGCCGTCCACGCTGCCGTGCAATGCCGCCGCGGTGAAGCTGTGAGTCTGAACGTTGATCGTTGACCTCTTCACAGAGCCATGCGTCAGAGAAGGAGGTCTGGGCTTACTGACGACGTCTTTCAGCTGGTGTTTGGATGTCCTTTCGCGGCTCTCCACCACGATGCGTAGAAAGTCTAGGAGAAACTGCAGAGCCCGCAGGTGGACTTGCTGTGGGGCGGATTCCAAACTGGCGTCTGTCATTGATGCCCTTGCGGCGTTGGCATTCCCGGTCTCCTCCGCCGACATCTTCCGGTTCAAATCGAGAGTGATATCTCTCGGTAGCACTCGCAAAAGAACTGTGTAGAGCACAGCCCCATACGCCTCTTCGCCCACCCCTAACGCTCTAAGGCCTCTGATGTGCGCATGTAGAGTGTCGTATAAACGCCGTAGGGCTCGGGTGTTCTGTTGTGGTGGCACTGGCTGTATGTCCATGAGACCTTCCATGTGGTCCTGGATAAGCGTGTCTTGCTTCCCGAACCGCTGCTCCAGGAGCTCGATGTCGTCCGCGTAACACTCAGCGGTCGGCTGCAATCCACCGATGGCGGCTGCTCCATCGCCGGTCAGCGCTGATCGCAGATAGTTTAACTTTTCTGATGGCGTGAGTTCCGGGTTTTGATGATTGGCGGTATCGAATTGCTGCCAGAAGGGTTGCCAGTCCTTTAGGTGCCCGTTGAATTGGATTAGTTTTAATTTTGGGAGTTTGATTTTTGATGTCACCGAGGATCCTCCGTTCCGATCTCCGCTCGATGGTCCCCCTTGCTGGGTGGCTGCCCTCCGCGCTCTTCATTTTTTTTTTCAGTTTGGTGAAGTACGTGAGGATCTTGTCCGAATACTCGATCGCATGAGTGAACTCTGCTTTTCCATCTTGCCCCGTGATCAGAGGTTCGATCGCCGCGTCCACGACGTTCAGTTGGTCGCGAGCCAGATGAATACGCTCGATTAGAACCTCGAGGTCGTTGACGCTTGGCGTAGCTAAGAGTAGTAACGCGTCGGCCTCACCAACAAGTCGTGTAACTTGCATCCGATGCGTCTTCCGTTATTTCTTGAGGACGTCCATGATCGTTGATCTTTCTGGCATGGCTTGATGAAAAGTTGCTGTAAACCACAAGGTTCCCTTCATTCAGACGTTCCTCCCGGGTTTCGGCACCAATGTAGGAACCTCTGGTAGTCCTCGATGGTTACGTTCAAGCAAACTTTTATTTACACAATCTACAAGCTGCAAGTGATGCGATCTGACGTGTCGTTTCCATGTTGATTCGACGAACGTGCTCTCAATTCTCTCTTTTTTACTTCGTCGTCTTCGATCTCCTCGCGCGAGGGATATGGCTTATTACGAACCACTTAAATGTTTCAACACATGTTAAGTGTATGAAATGGCACTAGGTTCAATTATGCGCGCGTATGACTGTGAAGTGCAAATTTCAAAGGAAAATATTATTTCCAGAAATTTCTAACAATATGATGAGAGTCCAGTGAGAAAATATTAACAAACCATTTAGCTACCTTAAAACACTGTCTAGTGTCAGTAGCGACATATAGACGTTTCCAGAAAACCGATTCGGGCCGCTGCGAATTTCGGCATTCAGGCGTATGGCGCGTGATTTGCTCAATTTTCGAAGAGACGAGCATGCGTGTTCTCTGCTGTGAATTTTATACCCTGGGCTGTAGCCTTTTGTGCGTTATAAAGGAGTATATTATGCGGAGTTTTAAAACAAGTGTGGTCACAATAAAAGGATACCGGGCATGTGAATTATGCAGTTTCATTCAGATCAATGTTAAAAACAGGACGTTGTGTTCTTACAACCACTTTACTGAATTTCGAAATAAATGGCAATATAGCCCTTTTTTAAAGCTAAGACAACGATATTTTTTTGTGGTCGGAAAAATGCTTTACTCACTCATGACACAGAATAGATTTTGTTAGGTGAACTCCACAATGCTCATGTAATTGCCTTGATAACACCCCAATGTCCACTTGTGGGTGGCATATCAACTCTTAATTTTGAGGCACCTCTGATACGCTTGAAGAACTAACCATGAAAGACATTTGTTCAAACCTTTAGCTATCGACTGGTGACTAAGGCGACTGCCCACGGCTATGTCGGCTTCGCTGTCTTACGTTCGTAAGCATTCCTAACTAAAAGTATGTATGCTTTATACTTTTTTTTCAATGGTGCTTAGTCGTGTCGAACACGCCTCAAGTGTTTGAAACTGTATTGGAGCGCCTAATTCAAGTACGATTGAGTGTGTTGAACTTAAGTTCAATCGTGTATTCTTTGATCGTTAGTTTCAAGCGAATTATTTGTACAGTTACCAAAGTATTTTGACCTCGTGAAACTGGACACGTTGCACAACAGTAGAACGATCCGTGAATTGACGCTTCTATGTAAGATCTTAAATAATACAATTGAATCAGAAGCGCTTCTACGTTACTACTCCTTGTGCGTTTTTTGTAGCTATGGTTGACTTCACTCTTTGTTTTATACTTCTAATTTATATCAGTCATCACCCACGACACACCTTTAATTGACGTAGAATCATTTAGAACAGATTTGTGGGAATGTTAGCCTAGATATTTTTATCAACAGCGTCAGTTTACAAAGTGTCTTGCTGCCATTATTTTGTCCTACCTCCATTTTTTTTATCGCATCAGAACAATTTGACTGTTGTCTGAGATTGATAGGTGTACAACAAGAAGGCGGCTAGCTGTTCGTGGGTCATTCAATATAAGTAATAAAAGATAAATAAAAGAAAACATCTTGAGAAGAAGAGCAGATTCCTAATTTGTAACAGGCTTACTGAACCTTCGACTGCTTTACACTTAGGTCATGTAGCGCAGTTGTATTTAAAAAATTACACTTTTGAAATATTTACCACCCACGAAAATTTTCGTATATTAGCTGCTGATTGCTAACCACACTACATATGACTATGTCAGGTGTTCCATTCAAAGCCGGGAGAAAGGTATTGTGTCGAGTAAGCAAAAGGTAGACTTCTCTCTCCGGTTGCATTGAAATTGGAACGTGTGGGGCGATTTTGTGTGAAGTCTGCGACTTGGGTTGGTTTGCTCTGATTCAGAATGCCATGTACCGTGTGCGCCACCCATCTTGTGCTGCTTTTCGGCGTATATCGCCATTATGTGACCATTTTTGTTCTAAATATCCTTGCATAAGTATTAGGTCGAAACTAGAAAACGAATTACTTAGAATGCCATATGTTCACAGTGATCGGAATTAAGGACGAAGTGCTTGTTTATGGTTTAAATAACCCCCTGAGGTGAAACCGATAAGACGAGCGAGATGAAACCGGATAACAAAACATTGTATTGAGATTTGCAACACGTGCCGCGTGCTCCAATCCCACAAATCTCACGGCCTCATGACACTAAATAATATTAAGGTCATTTATGTTGTTTTCTGAAATTCGTCTCATGTAGTGTGCTAAGATTAGAAAATCTGCATATGTTTAAGTGGCTCAAAACCTTTTTTTTCTCAGTTTATATTGCGACTAGAATAATATTAACGAATTAAGACAAGAATAATATGTACCCCACACGTTTGGGTGCCTGATCAAGGTATTACTTGCTCTAAAACAAGAGCAGCATACTTTAAAACTAATATTTAATAGAGTTTAAAATTTAAATTCGGAACGAAAATCTTTGCACGGTGGTATACTCAGTTTTTTTTTATGGAAATCTTGAAAGATATATTGATTTGTATTAAATGCCTTCATATACTAGAATAAAATATATTGCATACATCTAATTGTGGTATTTGTGTAATAACATGATGAGGACGGCAACCGCTGCAAAATTTTAAAGTCACTGAGCTGAACTGAAGTTAGATATATGCTTATTTTGTACTACTTAAAATCTACCTGATTTTTAACGGTTCTCTCCTGAAATATTAAAAACTTTACAATACATCTCAAGAGGTCTGGACGAGAATGATGGTATCATTAGTGTACAGGCGCGTTTTTACAAAAGCAAGAGCGTTTGACTTTGTTAACCTGATTTATAGATTTCACCTAAACGAGGATAGCATTGAATCTTGTTAATTCTGCAGATATTTGTGGCCTTCGAATCTTCAGTAACTCTACCCACTTTTCTGAGTTGTGAATTCGAGATACAACTTAGTGCTTAAATTTTTTTTTGGTTGAGAATGCTGGGTAAGTTAATCAAATATGTTCCCCTGAATGAAAGTTTATTTCTACTGATGTATTTGATACATTACAAATTATGGTCGGGGCTTTTAGCACCTGGAGTCGGTAAAGGTACTCAACCGAGCGCTCGGAGTAGCGTATTTTAGAACGCAATAATTCAAATTGCTTCCCATGTAAGAAGAGTACATTTAAACTTGAGTTACTTGCCATTACTTCCTTCTCCCAATAGAAAAATATTATTTTATTTAAAATAGTCTACTTTAAAGCTTTTTCGCCAGTTATTGGTGTCAAATTATAAGTACAAGCCACAGAAAAAGCACACAATAGATTGTGAAAAGAAAAGCAGGGGCTTTACTTGATGGATGCTCTGTGAAAATTTATATTGATTATGTGTCAAAAGAACTGCATTAAGAAAGTACTTTAGATGGTAAAGTGACATTAATTGTAAAAGACAAATTCCTTAGCAGAGTCTCGCCTATTGAGGTGTCTTCTTCAATTGAGTTGAGCATCGGCAATCCAAATCGATA